AGAACGACTTACTTTTACAAGGTTTTCACCGACAAGTTCCAGTTTCTGTTTCTGCTCCTCAACCAGTGCATTCGCCTTACGCAGCTCTTCCTCAAGACGATCGTTTTCAACACGCAACACCGCCTGAAAACAAATGCCATCATCTTGGCACTGCAATTCTCTATGCTAATGCTAAAGTTTTTAGTGAAATACCGCTTAAAACGACTGGCACATGATAGATTCCAGACCGTTTCCTGGGCGGAACATGCCTCAATCCCTGCTGATAACCCAGAAATAATACATAATAATAATCAAAATAACCAGAGAAAAGCCACGACTGCTCACGTATCGGGTGGTACGATCTGACTGGTGACAGAAGGCAACAATTAGCACGGGATATGAAGATCTGGCATAGTTAAGCTCAGCACGCAGATGCATCACTGAAGATCTCCGAATTAACGGTCCATGCTTTTTCGGAAGATGGCGCAACAGTAACAAATTTCATCGCAGAACGAATAAAAGATGTTGACACAAAACCTGAACGCTGTTTTGTCTTCACTTAAACCCATAAAAAGCCCGCGAAGCACAAAATACTTTCCAAACAAGATGGATCAAAGAAAGAAACAACTATTTTATCGAAGAGCTATAAAAAATACCGTACCCCAATCCATTAAAAGGCTAAAGTCACCGAAGAAGGAAAGTTTATTATCAAATCGAAGGATTTCGCTTATCGGGTAACCTATAAATTTGCTTCAAAACGATGCAATCCTACGAGTAAGGCACGAATAGCGGCACATAATGGCCTACAATGCGAGAAGGCCTAACCGGAAAAAATAAAATTTACGTACAACTTCTGATGCGCAATCGTGTCGTACATCTTCGCATCTCTGTTCAAATTGAGCGGCGTTGCTTCTCACATTTACCAGCTCGGTTTCCTTGACGTGCATTTCCTGCTCGAGTCGACTCACTTCCTTACCCAGTCGATCGCATTCTTCCTCCACCTTTGTAAAGCAGTAAACAATTAGATGGTTCACTTTCAAAGACCTGTGTGGGAAAGTATATAATAAGCACTTGGAACACAGAGGAAAGTACATAATAAATAGGGCTCACGTACGGGCACGTGAAAACTATGGCGGGAAAATTCATAACTCGCGAATGAAATAAATGGTAACGCGCACCAGGTTAAGCCGGTGCGCCATCATGTGTTTTGTGCAATTCAGCCCATCGAACGATTGCCTATTAATGATTTTCACTGCTTTGTACTTTAGTCCATGCAAAAATAGTTTAAACATCGGAAAACAGTTAAAAATTTCACGCACCAGCGCATTAAAGCTGAATTCGAAACCTTGAAGGATGAATATCTTTTCGTGATTCCCGAGTTAATAGCTTACCCGCCAAAATTTTCACGAGGCCGTAGGTGACACTTAAGAGCGTGGGAACGCTGAACTTGAATGGGCAAGGTTGAGTGTGGGCAGGGGGTCATTACCCTAAAATTTCAGCCTCCTAGACTCGGTACTTCCCGAGATATTAACTTACCCGTGAATAAATTTCACGAATCCGTACTTGTTACCCACGGGTAAGAGAAGGCTGAATTTGAATGGGCATGGTTGATGGTGGGCAGGGGGTCATTGCCCTAAAACTTCAGCCTCCTAGACTCCGAGGTTCCCGAGGTGTTAACTTACCCGTGACTTACCCGTGAAAAACTTTCACGGGGCCGTACTTATTACCCGCGGGTAAGGAAAGGCTGAATTCAAATGGG